ATGCTACCATCTGACTGGCCCATCGAAGAAGCTCGGTCGTGATGCTACCATCTGACCCCTGGCCGGTATCCCACCTGCTGGTGGGTGCAGCTGCCGCATGTTCCCTCGTTGGAGGCTTGAGCACGAAATCTTTCTTATAAATGCCACTGCGGCTGCTACGGGGTTCCCGTAATCCTATAATGACAATAAAAACAGGCCTGAAAGACCGTCCTGTCCAGATTGGACACGTAATTGAAAACAAAAACAAAAAATCCTGTGGCTACGCAAGGGCTGATATCAGGGCAACGAAGGTAGAAGTTGGGGTAGGTTGCGCTGCCCTGTAGCCTACCGGTAGCGTGTTGGGGGGCGTGAGATCAGGTAGGCCTGGTAGTGTGATAAAGACAGCTATGTGTGGGTTGGGTTGGGCACATGATGCCACCTGGAATGTAGGTATCTGGGTGATGTGAGGTTAGAAGTTGTTGATGAATTGCATAGGAATTTCGTAGAAATTTGTTCTTAAAATTTCTTGGAAGTTACTTCACCAGTGCCTCGCCCAGCTAAAAATCCCAACGCGGCCGTTAACGTGCCGCACGCTACAGGGGTCGTGCAGTTGAACGGCCGGTCGTTCCAAAAATGACGGGCAGATACTGAAGAGCATTAAAAAAAAAAATGATGGGAAAATCTACTGGGAAAAGAGAAAAGGGAATCAATTCGGGAAAAAGTCATGAAAAGGATAGAGAAAAAAAATGAGAAACACAGAGCGAGAGAGAACTATGTAAAGAAACAAGAGGAGAGAGAGAGAGAGAGAGAGAGAGAGAGAGAGAGAGAGAGAGAGAGAGAGAGAGAGAGAGAGAGAGAGAGAGAGCTGACCTTTTCTAATTTCACTTTCTAAGTCCTTAGGAACTCATTTGTCTAATTATTAACCAAATTTATCTATCTATCTATCTAATCATATGATCAATCTTTACTCTGTCAACTCGTCAGCCAATCATCCTCCAATCACCTAATCATCATACTTAGAAGTTAGCACCAACCCTAATCATCATAACAATTACCAACCTAATTAGATTTTCATACTAAATTCCTAATGTATTCCCAAATTATCATAACTCTCAACTCCTGGATCCTCGCAATAAACTAGCGCTGATGGTATTTTTAAGACATAAATTTCTAGGTGTATTTGTAATACCTAAATTTCTAATTATTCAATCTTTGTTTCTTTCAATCTGTCTTATTTTTTTCTGCATTCCAAATTATACTTCGTCACCTTCAGAAATCTGATTTAAATTTCTAAATTTCTCCAGCTTTAATTTCTACAGTAGGAAATCGTAGTCTTATTCGTGGTGCGTCATTGCAACTATTGGTTACCTCTTATTCTCCTTCTCTTCGTGCACCGATGGTTTTGTTTTCTAGCGGATGGTGGGTTGGTGTAGTAGGGGAGAGCTCCACTCTGCAGGGGCCTCACAAGGCGGGAACTTCCGAGAAGTGAAACCCTGGAGTTGGTGCCGGCAGATTTAAGGGGTTGCTCTATTATGGGTTTGGGGTGGATGCACACATCACAGCGGGGGCATATTAGGGTAAAGGGTGGACAGACACACACTTCGGGAGGGAGTTGTATGCCTTTCTGGGGTCGGGGGGGGGAATGTGGCCCCTTCTGTCCCGCATTGGGGCTGGGCAATCCTTTTCGGTGGAGGCAGCATGGGGATAGGTTGGAAAGGAGGGGGCTGGGGGGGGGGAGATTATAACCTGTACTATGTGACTGGAGATCCAGGTCACGGGTAATCTAGCACTAATCATGTTATATTAAGCTCTGTTTTTTTTTTGCAATTCTTGGCGACATTTGGATTTCCTTCTCATTATCTCATATACAATACAAGATTTTGGAGATGGTAGAACCCTGGTTGAGGCTTAAATAGTTGTTGTGCGTTCTACTCCTGGTCTGTTGATGCCAGAGTTGCCAGAACAACTCTGGCATGTGCTGGGGCGTAGCCCTATGACCTGTTCATAGACGGATTGTGACGCCTGGTAGAGAGAGATGAGGATTAGTCGAGGAAGGAAGACAATCCAGTGACGAACTGGGGGGGGGGGCTGCCATGACAACCTAAGGGGCGGCGTATAGTCCTGGAGGCGAGAACATGGCAGCGATGGCTGCTATTGGGTGGGGAAATATTATCTTCGGGTTGTTGTGTTTGGTATAGGGGAGGCTAGGATCCGAAATGCTAATGAATTGTGAAGCTAGGTTTTGCTAATGTTGTATAACTTTCTATAGGTTTTCACATATTAATATCAACATCATCTTAGTTCCTTATCATCAATATTTTCACTATCATCATTTTACAACATCAAAGGCATTAGCTAAATTCATGAGGGATGCTGGGCCCGGTTCCCACAACGTGTTGATTTACCAATTCAATGTTGTATCTCATGGGACGTTGGATCTGCTTTCTAGTAGGCGTAGCTCCCCACCAATAGACTGAGGCTAGTTTTAATTTCAAGAAGAAAAAAAAAAGGCCAGCAGAAACGTTTTTTGTCGTCCGTGAAGCATTTCCACGGATCCCATAAAGGGCAGTTATTGGCCAGGAACGTAATGGGAGGGTGTGACCACTCCGCCCGTAGTCGACTTCCACCTACATAGAACCTACCTATTCAAAAAAGGATGCCCATCGGGAAGGATAACCCTTTGAAGGGTTTTCCGTTGGAGAAAAACGCGAATTGGACCAACAGACATATTGTGCATACATCAACACAAGTAAGAAAGGGAAGATTACAACCCGACATTAATAAAACACCAAAGGTTAGTGTGACCTGTATGTAAGGATAATGTACATAAATCAAAAATGATTTTAATTTAAGTAAAAAGACATCAGTGAAACGTAGAGGTCGTTTAAGGTCCAGTCAACATCATTCTGATATGTTTTACACAAGCAGAGTAAAATCAACACCCAAGCACCATAAAATAAGTTCTAGGAGGAACACAATCTTACAATAGATAGTACATTCATTAATAAGGAGGAGTGTGTTTACCACCTATGGTCAAATTCAATGCTTTTGCAATGCAGGACACAATTGATGTGGAGGGGAAACAACCCTTATCCAAATAGAACTCAACATTTTGCTCCCCTTGCCGAACAAATTATGTTATCGTGCAATGGATAAAAGATAAAACCCATGGTTGTCATTGATGACATCAACTACATGTCACCACACATTGAACACCAATATGTTATCTTTATACGAAATGGAGTAGGGAAACATACGGTGCGCATCATTTCTCTATGTATGAGTGTCATCCTTCGACAGGATCCTTGCTTATTCTCTATGTATCGATGTCGTCACCACGGGGATGGCCTATGCGAACTTCGGTATGACCGTGCGTACAAGCCCTCAGCGCCCATACGATCTGTACGTACGGACTTTCGACCCTCCGTACGTGGCCTTTCGGAAGGTGTGTAGGGGGGTAGATCGGTTGGGGGAGATGTAGGTGTCCAGGGGTACCCACCCATAAAATATAATATATATATATATATATATATATATATATATATATATAAAATAGAGAGAGAGAGAGAGAGAGAGAGGGAGAGTTTCGGCAGGCTTCTTGTTTTCGCTAAATGAATTTGCTCGCCTTATTGGCCCAAGGGATGCCCGAACTTTTCTTCAGCTCTGAACAGGCGATAAATAGGTCTGCACCTGTATGTAGTCCCCTTTAAGTGAACATACAGATATGGACCAGAATATATCTTTTCATATTTTCAATCCTTTAAGAATTTCTAGACTCTAGAATTGCGGGAAGCTCCCTGGCTGGTTGTGCCGGTTGCGCCTGTATGTAGCCCTTCTCCTAAGGAATATACAGGGGCGGACCATAGTATATTTATTTTTTTAATCCATACTCTTGAGTGGCAGGAAGCTCCCGAACAGTTTCGCGCCTCTAGAGCGCGCAGTTAGTAGGTACTTGAGTAGTATATTATGATGAGTAGGGAACAATGTGTCCTCAATCTGAGTGGCGTGATGAGTGGAAGGGTTGAGTTATCCTGGCGGGAACAATGTGTCCTCAATCTGAGTGGCGTGATGAGTGGAAGGGTTGAGTTATCCTTGCGGTGGACGCCAAGGTATGTTGAGAAGGAGATGATGACGCCATGATAGTAAAGCTCATGTTATCTTCTTCATGAATAATTGCCTTTTTGTGTAATCAATTTTTCTCATGGACATGAGCCTTAGTTTTGACGCTGCCGTGGCTTGGTAACGAGACTAAGGTGCCGTCTTCACGCATGTGAATTCGTGCTTACCAGTGGGGTGTTGTTTCGCCTCACCCATTCCGATTTTATGTTTCCCTTTAATTCCTATATATGCTTTCTTACTGGTTATTTATTGTTTTCCCTTGTAATTCGCTTCACTTTGCGATATTTAGTATCGTTGTCATCCATTGGCTCAATTTCACCGAGCTTTGTTTCCAATTCTATATATTGTGAGTGACGATCTAGGAATATATTTCCCGAAAGTTGGCACCGTTGACGTAATTAACACCGTTCTCGCTCGTGTATCCACTTTCTTTATCTTCGTGGTATTACGTTTGCCCCTTGATGTGAAGGACCGTAGGCGCGCGTTCGGTTGTTATCCAACATCCGTCATTTATGAGATCTACAACACTGGCTTTGATCACCACTGAGGAACGCTGCTGTTACGTTGAGCTCCTCGCCGGATTTGGGATCGGGTGTAGTCTCGTACCACTTGTTTTCTTAAGCCTTATGTACGGAAAGGGAAGGCGAAATAAAGCTGGTGTAGGACGTGGGAAGTGGTCGAACGACGGGCGTTACTAGATGGAAGGCAACACGAGTAATGGCTATGGATATGATGGGGGGCGAGCGACGTATCCTGGCACGAATCCCACACCTGGGGGAAATCCTCCCCCACTGGGAATTGCTCCTATGTCGAACCCCTACGGGGCCGCTCACGCTTCTATGATGCCACCTCAGGCTTCGACGTTACAATATCAGACGCCACTTGGCCACTGGGGTGTCCAGCCGTGGCAATGACCTGGCCCCTGGGGTGCGCTGCAACCGCCATTGCTGCCGGCTGTGCAAACCGCTCCGCATCCGTCCGCTATACCTGTTCCTACTCTTACCCCTCCCCCTCCACCCCCACCTCCACCTCCCTCGCATGCGTCTAACCCGCCTGCGCAGCATCACTCGAACGCCCAACATGGGCAGTCTGGGCACGGAGGGAACCCCGCCGGTAGTGGGAAAGGGCCGGCTGCCAATGTTTTTCCGGGTCCCGACAATCGCGCTTACTTTACCAAAGAGTATATGGACATTCTGGAGAATATCAAGATGAATAAAGCTCTGGAAGAAGCGAAGAAGAAAATTGCTGCTCCGCGACAACGCGGTTTGAAGATTGTGGAGATCCTGGAAGAATCCAGTCGCTCCGGTTCCAGATCACCAGACAAGACCGAAGAAATGAAGGCATGGGTTTCGTCAACCCTCGACGACTCGCTCAGGTTGATCACCGCGAAGTTGGAGGAAGTTGACAAGAAGGCCAACATTACTGCTGCCGAGAAAGCAGAACTGGAGTTGCGGCGGAAAGCTAAGGCCGCTGAGTGTGAGGCAAATGAGAACAAAGAAGGGAACAAGTCCCGGAAAGACGCGTCTAGCAGTGAAAAGAGGAAGAGAGCGGGGGTGCGCACCCCGCTGGAGAACTCACCATCTGCTGCGCGTGCGAAGCCCCGGTCGCGTGGAAGCTCGACGTCTCGACCGAAGAGGATCAAAATTTCATCCGATGATGAGGTCGGGGGTACTGTGAAACAGAATCTTCACGCGAAGATGGAGAACAACAGCGAATTGGCCGATATTAAGCGGATGCTGGCCGCGATGATGCAAGGGATCGACGACGCCAAGGGTAAGGCAAAAGTAGTTGAGCCGACCTCCCGGGAACCCGTGGCCACCGAAACGGAGACCGTGGCGAACGATGACGTCGACCTGGCTCAGAATTCCTCGCTTGCCGAAGAAGAAGAAGAAGAAGACGAAGGGGGCCTTGCCGCGTATATGAAGGTTCGAAGGGAGTACTATAGCTCGTTGCAGTGCACTAGAGTGCAAGAGTTATTTAAGGAAAAGGGAATCTAGTACTTTCGCAAAAATATGCGGGTTTGGGAACTGGCCAGGCGCGATTTGCAAGAATATGCGGATCTGCTCAAGGAAGGGAAGGGTGAGCCATCGTCGAAGAATGGACAAGGCACTGCTGCGGATGAATCGTCTGAGTCGGACTCCGAGAACGTTAAGGGAAACTGACCGTCTGTAGTCTAAGGTCGCTACTCCAGATGACCAGGAGGATCACGAGGATGAAGCATGATGCTTCTCTGAGACCAATCTTGGATTGCATTCACGTACTAATTATTCTTCTTGCTTGTCTGTTGAATGTTATAGCCTGGGGCAAGGCTTATATCGCGTTTTGGATCCGGATGTCTCGTGCTAATTGGGATCAGCTACTTAATGTCAACTGCTGTGTCTATGTTATAATCTCATTAACTCATAAACTGGTGTATGTTGGGAAGGCCACTCGCCCACTTAGTGAGCGTTGGGCCGAACATCGTCGGTCAACACGAGGTGATAGCAAACAACGAATTCACTCGTGGCTCAGGAAAGCGGGGGATGAACATTATGTCCCCATCCCAATTTGGTTTGAGAATGTTGCTGCAATTGAGACCTTAGAACAGGCAGTAATTAAGAGTTGTAACCCTGGTCCTAATGCACGGGGAAGGAATAAACAAAATCGAAGGAGAAAACCTCGTGGGAAACACCAGAAGGCAACAGGGTTGTGCCTGTCGTCAATCAAAGAACCTCTTTTGTTCGAATGCTCGGATATTAACATGCACTGTGAACCGTACCTACTTCGGATTATGAAATCACTTCAGAAGAGTAACAAACGTCGGGGTATTCAGGTTCGTAATAATGCGGGAGGGAAATGGCTTAAAGCTTGGCGTCTTGTTTCGTTGCTGTTTGGTTTTTCGAAAATAAAGATAAATGGCGACAATTTGCTACTAAAAGATGCTAAAGATCACATTGAACAAGGGGGGAATTGGCTGATCGTCGAATTGTTCCGCACAAGTACCAAATTCGAACTTAAGAAAAGTGAGCTGATTGCCTTTCTTCGTGCCCTGTGGAAAAGGCGGGATTTGTATAAATGCGATTTAAATGAACTCATTGAGCTCAACAATGCGGTGAAACTTATTAACCAAGATCTATACTCACAAATGTGTTCAAAAAGAAATTTGGCATTAATCCTCGTGTGAACATAATTATAAAAATTCCGTATTGTACGACCATTGACAAAGCATGTTTGTTGGCGCAACTAAAGAATTTGATAAAAAGTGAAGTGTTACCTGTGCCGCTTGCTGACCTGTATGCTAAGAGGACCAAGGCCGTGTGGATGAAAGCTAAATCGGTCGGGGACTTCCTGCATAACCAAAGGTCTTTTGCACAACGAAGCAATCTTGAGTGCACTTGTGCGGACCTTGACCTGCCCCGTAGAGACGGGCATGTCGCAGTCAAGCTAAGCGAAATTGATGGCATTAAGCCTTTTCTCTCCAATTCAAAGAACATTCTTTTTCCTGGGAAGATTGTCGTGAAAGATGGTTTGAACAAAGCATGTAACGAAGCCTTGAGTTGCCTTTGCAATATGGGCATTGCTATCCGCCCATTCAGGATCGATTGTGCTACTGTCTGTAAACCTGGTTCTGCAAAACCACCTGGGTGCGTTCTAGCCGAATATGTTATAGGTGTAAAACTGACCCTTTCAGGCCTGGTCATGTCTCCTCTGGATCGAAACCCAAGCGAAACCTGGATTGAATGTCCTTGGCGGTATGGGGAAGGACTGAAAACAATGTTCTTGCAGAATGTGAACTATGAGGTTGTAGAATCCGAGAAAAGCAATGTGCTTCGCTGCATGCGGAAAAAATACCAGGAGTCCAGTCTCTCAGATGCAGCAAAATGGGACCCGCGGGGCGTGCTTCAGCATGCCTATATCATGGCAAAAGAAAAAGACAAAGAAAAAAGGAGACCTATTGTCCCCTATTTTCTGAGCCCTTTTCGAACCGCTGCCGGTGTGCTTTCCCTGGGACTGAACGAACTGGTGCGAAGAGTTCACGTTCCCCATTTTAATCTAAGGTCACTATGTGGCGTTAAGAAAGAAATTGACTCAGTAAATGAGACATGTCGGAAGAACATGAACCTCAAAGTCATTTCCCGCACCCACGACATCAAAGAAATGTTCACACAGTTGCCTCACGCCGATATCCGGTGTGCCGTAGAATGGAATATAGGCCTCTTTTTGGAGAAGAAGGTAAAATGGTTGAGATTTAATCTACGCAAGAAACTCGTAACCTTTGGGAAATCGCATGGGGAGGCAGGTTGGAAATCAATCAGGCTAAACCTGCTTGGCAAATTGACGAGTATCCAGCTTGATAACACTTTTTTTCTCGTTGCAGACTGTGTATTACGTCAAAAAAAAGGGATTCCTATGGGGGGCCGTGCGAGCCCACCACTTGCTTGTGTCATGTGTATGTGCGCCGAGTACAAGTTCATTAAGAGCTTGGGGGCTGATGCCATATTTATAAGAGGTAAACGTTACATTGATGACTTATTGCTCCTTGCGCTCTGGGACGCGAACGACTGCAATAGCTTGGATAGGATTGAGGCAAAACTGGATCTGATCCTGGACTGCTATCCCCAAGGGCTGAAATTGGAACGTATTGACGCTGGGAATGGGATTCTCGACTTTCTGGAGATATGTATTGTGTAACTAACGAGTCGCTTGCAATTGTGCTCTCACATAAGTTCAAAAACGCGGGACTATCTGGTCCCCGGGCGATTTACGACTGCGGACATACAAAGATTTCGATTCCTTTGGTCCAAAAGCGGCCAAATTTGCTACTGTTGCCAACATTGTCTTATGCATTTCCATGAACTGTAACAACGAGGGCTCGATTTGCAGTTCTATCCTCTCTCTGGCAGAGGAACTGGAGAAGTCGGGATACCCGGCCACAACTGTCACTATTGGTCTGAAATGGATGAACAGGCGGGATCAAAAACCATTATGGAACAAGCTGCAGGGGCTGATTGAGCTACTGTATACTCGCTACAAAGCTGCAAAGCTCTTGTTTGTGTACCCAGGGATATCCCTGCCGGATTCGACTTTGTCTTCATATAACGACGTTTTCGCCGACTGGTTGTAACGTGGTTACTTGGTACTCTGCTATTCCCTTCGGGGTTGGAGGGAAAGCCCAATGTTTCGACAGGCTTCTTGTTTTCGCTAAATGAATTTGCTCGCGTTATTGGCCCAAGGGATGCCTGAACTTTTCTTCAGCTCTAAACAGACGATAAATAGGTCTGCACCTGTATGTAGTCCCCTTTAAGGGAACATACTGATATGGACCAGAATATATCTTTTCATATTTCCAATCCCTTAAGAATTTCTAGAATCTAGAATTGCGGGAAGCTCCCTGGCTGGTTGCGCCGGTTGCGCCTGTATGTAGCCCTTCTCCTAAGGAATATACAGGGGCAGACCATAGTATATTTATTTTTTTAATCCATACTCTTGAGTGGCAGGAAGCTCCCGATCATGTTCGCGCCTCTAAAACGCGCAGTTCGTAGGTACTTGAGTAGTATATTATGATGAGTAGGGAACAGTGTGTCCTTAATCTGAGTGGCGTGATGAGTGGAAGGGTTTAGTTATCCTGACGGTGGACGACAAGGTATGCTGAGAAGGAGATGATGACGCCATGACAGTAAAATTCATGTTATCTTCTTCATGATAATTGTCTTTTTGTGTAATCAATTTTTCTCTCTTACCTGAACGAACGTTCGGGGGGCCCCGGGCTGGCCCCCAAACGTTCGGGCGTTCGGGGTCCCGTTCGGGGGCCGAACACCTCCAGGTTCGGCCCCCGCCAAAAAATGTTCCGGGGCTTAAAAATAAGTTTTGTTTTCCGAATTGTTTTTTGTGAGTTCTCTCTGATGTAACCTACACGCCTATAAATTTTGAAGCCATTCTGCTAAGCCAAACAAACATTAAAAATCGTTAAAGATTGGGGTGTCAAAACGTGCTCGCCCACTCACTATTTTGTTTTTTTTCACTTTTAACTTTTTGTTTTCACTTAATTTCGGGGCCTAAAAAAAATTATAATTTTTTGAAAAACCTTTAAAGAGTTAATGACTATATAAACTACATATCTGTAAATTTTCAGAGCATTTGTCAATTCCAAACAATAATTAAAAATCGGCAAACATGGCGGTGTCGAAAAGGTGCAGGCACACTCACTCATTTTAATTCTCTTTTTATTTTTTCTTATTTTTATCATAGTGTTTATTTTCTGTATTTGATTTTTAATTCAAATTTGGTAAAGAATGTTGATGAAGTGCACGGGCAAATGTTGTTTAGTTTATTTTTCTCCATAACATAGTTTGTCTCCAAAGGGGTCCCGTACGTTCGGGCGTTCAGGTTCGGGCATTCGACCCGTCCCGAACACTGGCAACCCTGTATACATATATATATATATATGTATATAGTTATATATATATAGTTCTGTTTGTGA